TCTGCTATATTGTTCAATCACCATGCGAGCAGGCTCTGACGTGCTCCAATTTAAAAACAAATTAAAACAATAAACACTCTCTAGTTCTTACTCCTGCTTGGCTACTGCCCTATTGCTGATGAAGCTTCAGAGAGTTATCTGCCTTCACTGTCTCTATTGCTTGTCTCTCGATCTCCCCATCCACGCCAGCATCCTCTGCATCCTTCCTGCCCACCCCAAAGCCTTCCACACTGCCCAGTCCAGCGGGCCCCATCCCACCTCACTCAGCGGCCCTCCACTGTGTCACTTCTCCCTCCTTTCTGAAGTGCCCTTTTCTGGAAGATTACAAGCCTCCACGCCCTCTTGGTTTTTCTCCTACCCCAGTGACTGCTCTATCATCTTTGCTGGCTCCTTCCCTCTTCCAGACATCTCAGACTTAACATGTGCAAAATGGAGCTCAATTCCCCCCTCCAAGATGTTCTTCCTTCTGTCTTCTCCACCTTAGTAAATTGCTTAAGCCAAAAACCCAAGTCGTCCTTGCTTGCGTTCATTTAACCACCACGTCCAATCCATCAGCAAGTCCTGTTGACTTGGCATTAAAATCGCCTCCATCAGCCCTGCCTCCAAGCTGTATCATCTTTTGCTGAAGCCACTGTGAAATCCTTTTAACTGGACTGCCGGTTTCTCTCATTTGATACAGCCTGCATCGCTCGCAGCAGCTACAGCGATGTTTTCTAAAGTTTGAGTAAGATCATGTCCCAGCTCTAAACACTACAATGGCTTCCCACAGCAAGTGGGATGTCACCCAAGCTCCTTACTGTGCTCAGTGCCAAGCCCGACAGCTGTCAGTCCCCGCCTGCTCTCTGACCTCTGTCGTCAAGCTCCAGCCACACTGGTCTCCAGGTGTCCAGGTCGGAGCCCGCTCCTCCCACCAGGGCCTGCCACCGCTCCGGGCAGCGGCTCCCCAGATCTTTGCAGGGCTGCTCCCCTATCTTTCGTCTCTCGGCACAACTGTCACCTCCTTGGGCACCTGTTCCATAGCCGCCAGGTGGTTCCTGCGTGACTCACTCCCACGCGCTCCTTATCACATCACTCTGACATCCCCCACAGGACTAAGTCCCACCTGAAATTCTCTGGTAATTCACGGTCTTTTTTTGTCATTAAAAAAACTTTTCTTTTGAAATAATTTTAGATTTCAGGAGAGTTGCAAAGACACCGGCACCCGGAGCACGGCGTGTGGCACCCGCCAGACGTGTCTCTCACCAGTTTATACTTAGAAACCTGCACATCCACTGCAGACACTTTAAGTGGAGAAAAGTACATCACTTGGAAGGCTCACTCCGTGCCATGCTTTACATGGCCCATATGTATACTTAAGTGTGTTCGTCAAAATGGAAATGACACAGATTATGGAGATTCAGGGGGTGGGGGGACAGGGAATGCACCATGAGAAGTTGCTCAATGTGCGTTATTCAGGTGACGGATATCCTAAAAGCCCTGACTTCACCACTATGCAATCTATGCATGTAATAAAATTATATTTGTACTCCATAAATTTGAACAATTTT